CGTAACAATCAATACCTGCTCACAAGAGAAGATAACTCTACAATATGCAAAGCCGGAATATCAAAGGCCAAAATATTTTATTACGATTTGGTTATCAGTTAAAACTAAAACAATACAACACATTAAACAATTTAATTAAGTTAAAATATTGGACTTTAACATGTTGACCAACACACCGGGATAAAACAAATACCAAATCTTATACCTTAATGCCAAAAGCTTCTCCAGCGATGACCTTGACAGTGACCCCATCCTTGGTGGTCCGAGGAATGTCCTTGTCCAGTAATTCTTGGTAGGCCGGCTTGATCATTTTGTTTTTAGCAGACAGATTGACCCACAGCTGGAGGCCATGGGTAATTCCGTCACCCCACGGCATCTCACAGTGGACAATACCTCGACCGGCGGTCATCCACTAAAACAGGAAAAACAGTCAGTCTTTATCAAAACAGGCCAAGGTCAAAGTTATTAACCGTAAATATGCCAAATTTGAAGATCCAGAGGGTGGAATTTCCCTTTCATACACACTTTGGCCTGAAAGGGTATTTTTCTCTCATTCCAACCACCAATATAAACTCAGAAACCATGAAAATGTGTTTGGACTTGCCAACATTTTAAAAATATTTTTCTAGACGAAAACGAATCTGTCAGACAGATTTAGCAAACCCCATATTAGCAAACAGAGTTTGTGCAGAAAAATGAATAACATGTTTCTAAAGTATACGGTAACTATAATGTAAAAGGTTTTAATTTCATCACGTCACCTTTTCCGCATCGTGGCATCTAAGAATTTCCAAATTTTGAGCTATTGTGACGTCATGTCACGTGAAATGGTGTGTAGGATAGAAATTTCCTTATTCCTTTTTTTACCCTGGGCAGCTCTATCTTACACACACGGAAATGAGAAGCTGGATGTACTAATAATTTTCCCACCTGCTTCGTACTAATGAGTATAACATTGGTATTCTGCCATACTCACGAAATATATACTGTATTCAAAAGAAACTCAAGTAAGATCCATTATATCTTACGCAGTAACGACACCTATCAGGTCTACATTTATAGTCAGGCTACATGTCATGGCTATAGACTCACCTGTAGGTCACCTTCGTTAATTGTACCTGCATGGCCACAGAAGTCTTCATGTCTGATGGCGCCCTTCAGGATGTAGGTTACCTGTAAGTAACGTACAGGTGGAAATGAAACGGAGCAGGAAGAATGCAACGTAAACAAGAGCTCTCATCAACTGACCGTGGCAACAATGAGTGTTCTTCATATGAAAATAGCACAGGGCACTTAGAATGGCTTACATGGTTAGATGTGGTATGTTGTATACATGTAAAATCCTTGTAGCTGAGAGCAATGGGCCATTTTTAGATTTGTTTTGTCAATATACAAAATTACAGGGGCCATTCTATTAAAAATTCAAGAGAAAAGAAAACATAACAGGCCAAATTCATTTTTTTTGGGGGGGTGGGGGGGTCCATTGGTCTTTATTGCTTTCCTCCAGGACTACCCCTGGTATGGATATCTTACAGTTTCGAATCCTCTATGGGGATGATCTGGAAATCCTCCAGGCTGTTTGTCTTTGAACTCATCCAACATCAGGAATGGATCAAGATTCCGTAACTGCGAACAAATATATCATTTAATGAATTAAAAGACTGAATGTGACACACAGAATTTGAGTGGATGATTTAAGAATTTGTGTCAATTATCAAAACCCTTCATCTCTTAAAGACTGTAATGTTTACTTCACCCTTTAATTATAATGATTTCTGGTAGTCCCAATGAACTGTGTTTCTAATGAACATGAATTTTGACTGACCTCTGCACGCCCGACACTCCTGCGCACACGGGCACCCACACCCTCATCTTGCTCCACGCTAAGGACAGATTTGACCACCGACTTGGATGTCATCGTAGCAATAACAGAACAGTACTGGTCAGTTTGAGTCAGTGCAGGAACAAGGGATCTATATTGACTGGTCAAGTTACAACTCTTGACCGGTACATCAGCGTGGAAGGTCCTGAGAATTGCTAACACAGCAGTCAAGATAAGTAGTGAATTTTGTGTTCTTATCCTCAGAACACCACACAACATTCAAATGAAGTCTGAAAATGAACAAACACAAAATTAAACAATGATAAACAAATGAGACGGTACTATCTTTATCACTATTCCTCTTCCTACTACAAATTGGTGCCGTTGACCCGGGGGGGCCTCCCCGTTCAAGGTAGGAGAACCCTTGGCGGGGAGTCAAAGAA